AATGAAATACCTTTGAATGTGCATACTGATAAATGTAGCTTTTCTCAGTTGTATGTCAAGTTGCTGTTGTTTAACAGTGGTGCAGCATTTTCTGGCAAAATGAAGACAGCCTTATGGGACTGCTTTGGCTGTGTCTCCTGGAAAGCTGTTCCGTTTATGGTATGTGATTACATTTTTACAAATTGCATGGAATAAATATTTACTACTGCAATGAAAGCTTTGCATACATACATTGGGCATCCAATAAATAAAACACTTTGAGTATATAACATTTAAATACTGATGGATCTTTTCTTTTCAGAGTGTCTCTAAATATTCTGCCCTGTGAGATGTGGTACAAAAATATTCTCTTAAGTGCTAAGGTGCACATGTCCTTACAAAATGTGTGCAGCTGGTTTGAACAGCATTGTGCAGCAGAGGATTAGATGACTAGACTGCTGTCTTTACAGCAGAATTTGTAATTTCCCTAGTAAATCTAACAGAACTAACAGAACAGAACAAGCAACTTTTGTTTAAACACTGGTCTGGATTACTAGAAGAGCAACTTTGGTTTTCTGGTATATTTGTGAGCGATGATCTTTACTATACTACATGGTACTACACTGACACACACCTTAGTTATTCTGTTCTTAACTTTTCATTGTCCTAGTGTAGCTTGAATGCACCACTTCTCGTTGTTAACTTTCAAGTCCTGGGGCTCCAGCATAGCCTCCTTCAGTTGCTTTTAAATGTTGTTTAACTTTAAACTTTCCTGTCTTTGAATTGTTGCTGTGTTAAAGATTCAGCAGGCCAAAACTTTACTGTGCTGCATGTCAGGAGACAGGTTATAGAGAAAGCTGCTATTACTTGAAATAAAAAAACAATTGATTTAATACCTTCCAAGGAATGAATAGACTTTTTTCTGTATGATAAAACTTACCTCTTTTTGTTTTTGCAATAAGTAGGAGTTAGAATGAATTTTGCTTTAAAATATCAGTGAGCAAATTGTGGTTGCCTCATTTATTAAAGAAGCTTGTTTGCATTCTTTTCAAGTTCTTTTTGATTTTGCTTACTAATAGTTACTTAAGAGAAAAGTCCTTTCTCCCCTTAGCCTTAATTTTGTCTTGCACCCATTTTGAACCATCATCCTAGTAGCTGGGAATAATTCCACTTGTATTTGGTGGTATTTAACTACAAGGTGGAAGGTAGAGACAAGGATAGACTGTCCAAATCCTTTTCAACTTTCAGTTCCTGTTGGGTAACAAAGTGCAGTCTTCAGTAGATCCTGAGGATTTGGAGCAGCCTTAGAGCCACAGATTCTGCTGCTCTGGCATGGACATGTCATTACCGTTACCATTCGTTTGAGCTGAGCAAGTCTCCCTAGCAAACTTGAAACATGCACTGAACCTAGCAGTTACTCAGCGCTTCATTTCTGCAGTTGAGCACAATTTTATTGGCAAGTAAAGGCTCAAGATGTAGTTATATGAACATGCACGTTTGCCATGAATCCATATCCTTTTTCTGATTGGTTTATACCGTCTGAAAGAGCAAAGAGGATTGCTGCTCCTAGCTGGCTGAGGATTTCTCTACTGCAGATATGGTTGAATACTGCTGTTAATACTGCTTCTGATGGCATTTCATGTGTCCTGGGACAAGAGAAAAAGATAGGTGTCAGGCCTGCAGCTTCTAGTCTGCCCAGGGTGTCTTGGAGTTCATATGTTTCCCTGCAACCTATGAGTGTAGGAGCACTAGTGGGGTAAACTTGTGAGGGACGTTCTGGTTTGTTGCACTTTTCTCAATAAACCTTACCAAAATGTGCTAAGTAAGTAGATGAGACTCATGAAGAAATCTCTGAACAGAGAAAATAACTGTCCGGTTGTCTCTGGATTTAAGTCATGTCCACATACTACTACTATGCAAGTCCCAGAACTTTCCTGCTCCTCAGACCTTTCCCCCCCACACTGGAGTAACTCATATTCTGCCCTCTCCTGCCCTTTAACAGCTGTTTGGACAAGTCGGTGTGAACTGCCCCTGTACTGACTGGGCAGCCTGGAGCCCAAACAGAACAGACAATGAGCGCAGGGTGCAGCTTTACTTGGGGCATGAGGGGGAAGGAAAAGGGAGTGAAAATCCTCTAGCCAGCAGCTAATTAAAAGAACTTGCAGTGTTTAATACGATTGGTACCTTCTCTGGCAGCTTTGACTGAAATTTAGTAATTGGATCAAAGTTATTGACAGTACAATTGCAGAAGCTTCCTTTCCTTGGAAAATGAAGTCTGAAGGTGCTTAGTTTGAAAGTTGTTCCATCAGTCCCTTTTACTTTCTTTCATTTGTTTATTAAATGCCTCATATTACATATGTATCACAGTCTTCTAAACACTAATGGTAATAATATTGGAGAGGTGTTTAAGGTAGTCTTTGTGCAGCTCAAGCAAAACTGGACTTGCTTTTCAGTTTGCTCTTCCAGGGTGTTTGTATTTTTATTTCACTCCCGTAAGGAACAAGAAGGGCCTTGGGATCAAGTCACTTTCAAACTTAAATGAGACACTGATTTCTTTCCTTTTACTTTCCTTTCTACTGACAGAAAACTCAAGTGAGCAAACTATAAACTAATCAAGCTTTTCACCATGGGGGATAGAAAGCAGAGACAATTGAAAGTGACACCAAAGAAAAGCAAGTAGAAAATAAGGCCCATTTTGTTCCTTTGAAGTTGAGTATCTGGAGTCTGGAAAGGACTCAATGAACCATCAAGTCCCGTAGCCTGGTATCACTGACAGTCATTTCATACAGTTCTTTTCATAAATTTAAGTAGTTTCATCTTAAATATTTTGGCCCAACTAGCTTTACTGGAAAGCTTTTCAGAAATTCTCTGCTTTGAGAATATGGAACTTTATAATTTGTAATCAAGCTGTATTTGTACCTAGCTTATACTCATCAGATCTGTAACAAACATAAATAGGTTCTCTGTTTCCTATGGTCACTGCAGTATTACTTTTATGTCTGTGATCCAGTTTGATTTAATTTTTATTGAACGTAAGTGAATGGAATTGTAAGCAGTATTCTGGATGAGATCCTGTCAGGTACTACTAATGCTTACCGGCATTCAAAGGAAATGAATTCCAATGAAATTCCAAGGAAATGAACCTAACGCATCCAAGGATTGCATTTGTCCTTTTCACATTTTGTGTTACTTTGCTTCTTTGTAATAGGTATACCATTGAATTTCATTACTTTTCTGTTATTTCGGTAATATTTATTGGTTTTTCCCTCTGTGATACAGAGTTTCTTTGATACTGAGAAGTGCTTCTAACTTGGGGGGTTGCCAGCAGAGAAGCAGTGAGGAACCATTATTTTAATGGCAGCCTCAGTTCTAATTTAGGTGCAACCTAAAAATTCACCTGAAATGTGCCAAATTACTGGCTTAAGTAATCAAATCTTCTGGTTGATTTAGTCTCCCAGTAACATATGCAAAGGGTCTCTAGTGTCCATCTTTTTCTTACTGCTATTACCACTACTACTATTTTTTTTTTAATTTTTGTAAATGTATGGTGAAATATCTTCTATTTTTACTTTTTATTCTTTTGCCAGGTCTAAGCAGTTACATCTTTTGAAATTCTTTTTTAGCTTTATGCTTTCTAACTGCTTGGTTTCCTTCATTGATCCCTCTACTTTTCTTTCCTTCTTACACACTCCATGCCTAAACTTTCTGCCCTTTTTAGGGGGAAGGGGCAGAGATTATCATCTGATTATTACCGGGATACTTTTCTAGAATATTTTCCTTTGCTTGAGATAGAAATTCCAGTCCTTTTCCCCACTTTTAATTTGAATGGGGATTTTAAGTTTGTAAGCCGTAATTCGGTTCTGTTTGCTTTCACAACTGCCTTTAATTTTTTCAACCTTTTCCGTTTACACAAAGACTTTCTTTGGGATCCTGTTTTATATGTATATATCCAATAATGGGAAAAGAATCAGTTTTAGAAAACACAAGATGACATGACGCAGGAAGAATTGGCAAATGAAAGCACAAAGAGGGCTGACTAAGAAGCCCCAGACGTGGGCAGGGCGTGGAAAAGAGGAGAAAGCACTACATCCTAATGTGGCTCAAAAGACAGAGGAGGTGTAGGGGTGAAACGAGGTAGCTGTAATAAAACAGGAGTTAGGATAAGTGAGGTTTCACAGGATGACTCGTCAAGCTAACTACTCGTTACCACTCTGCAAGGTCCCTTTGCTTCCCTTTTGCTAACTCCAGTGCTCGTTTGAGTGAGCATTCGGGTTACAAGAGTTACCCACCAAAAGAACAAATGGTTTTCTGCCAGTTTGGTGATCTGAGCTGAGTTATTAAGGTGTCTGACAAGTGCCAGAACTGGTCAAAGAGAGTAGCTAAGGGATGGCGTTACTCATTTTGTGAGGAGTTTTCCCATAGTTGGGCTCAGCCAACACTAGAAACCTCTGCTGGAGCTAATAAGCTAGAACTTGAAAACCAAGTACAAGAAGAGTGAATTTTGGAGAGCTTTTGGAAGCAGCAGCGTTTATATCAATAGAGGTACCAGTGGAGGACTGGCGAGTGAGCGGAGGTGATTTGGGCAGAAAAAGAAACAGGTCTTGGACATACCTGACTGGATGAAGTTGTGAGGCTTTTTTGATCAAGTAACAGGAGTGATACAAGCCTAGATGGAAGGAGAAAGGCTTTGACAGTTATCTTTGTAAAACGATACAAGCATGGCAGTAAGGGCTTAAAGATCTTTGAGGTAATAGAATAATGTTTCTAAATATAATAAATGTTGCATGTAGACACCATATACTTAAATGTAATGAAAAGTCATTTAAGGTTGTTCGAATGCCATATTCAATTTTAAAAGGAAACAGTGTCACTTTTGTACTGCTCTGTAATACCCTCTAACTTTCTTTTTTTTTTTTTTTTTTTTATTTTTTTTTTTTTCACGGGG